TTTGGTGATGTTAATAATATCTAATTGTCACTACTTGCCATATTCAGCAAATACTATTTTTATTTTTGTTTGTTCTGTTGGGTCATTTGGCAGAGATCGCTTGTGCGATAAAATGATCCATTTGCTGATACTGTTTAAGTTAAGTGTATCTTATGTAATTTTGTATTTTTGTCTGTGGCAATAAATGATAAATAAATAAATTATTTGATCCTTGATAATATCGTCTATAATTAATGTTAGCTAATTTTCTGCGCACGTGCATTCAAGTGTCGTGAAGCGTGCCTTTCAGTATTCAATAATTGAAGAAAAATGTACACTGTGTTACTTAATTATCGTACCCGACGTCATCAGTGCAAGTATGCAACCAAATACGCAAATCATGTATTGCAATATCAATACTGTGATATTGGTTGCATATTTGCAATGATGACGTGGGGTGCGATAATTAATTAACACACTCTAATGTTCCACCCAATTTAAATTTTTAAATTTAAAAATATCAAACCCCGCACCTAGCCAAGCCAAACGCTTTGTGTGCGGATGTATCATGGAATCGATGTATCGACGATGACGTCATCATGATAAGGCTCGTCGATCTAGGTAGTTTCATTCAAATTTCCCGCCAAAAAGAGGGTTCTTGGAGAATGCCGCGCTCTGATTGGTTGAATTTAAAATGTAAGCGTGGTCAAAACGTCAAAAGGAGGTAGTGGTGGGGATAAAAAGTAAGGAGAATTTTATTCTATAAATGAATTTATAAATTTTGAATTGTAATTTTTTATTTTCTTCTTTTTCTTTTTTGTGACGATATTTTGTACGCTTTTATATAAATGTAAATATTGGGCGCGGCCAGCGGACACAGCTGATGTAAAAAAGAAGCTTTTGTGATGAGTATGATGATAAGCAGCATGTTTCTGATCGCTGTATGGTATTTCTACACATCATGTTTTTGACATATTATGCATTAAATGTCTAAACTGTCTTGGTTGACAGTATTAGATTAGTTAAGTCCCGTATTATACGTGTTTGCTAAAAATGATCGATACAAATCGTAATAAACGTTTGGTAGTGGATTATTTTTTAAACGATGCTGATTTAGATATGAATATCTTAATGGCATTGGATAACCTTGCTAATAACATCACACAAAGTTAGCCTCAATATAAACAGCCACCGATCCACAATAATTATTATGAAAAAATTATACCAAACTATAGATTAAGTGGATTCAAAAGCCACTTCAGGATGTCCAAGACAACTTTCGAGGTATGTAAATTTGAACAATTATTGCCAACAAAGATATAATATGCCTAACATTATTATAAATTTAGGAATTGTCAACACAAGTTTTTCCACATCATAAGGTTCAATCGTATGTAGCTTTTGACAAGAAGATGCTCCTTACGATATGGCTGCTTGCAAAACCAGAAAGTTTCCTAGCTGTCGGAGAACGCTTTGGGGTGTCAAAGAGTGCAGCGCATTTTGTATTCCTTGAAATAATTTCTTTAATACTTCATTTAAAAGACCAATATATTCGTTGGCCAAATCGCCAGGAGATAGCTGCAATTGAAACAAGATTTAAATCACGTTCTGGTAAATACATAAAGGGGAGATAACACAGTTTATCTTGTGCTTATATTAAAAATGTCTTACAGGCATTCCTGGTATAGTTGGAGCTATTGATGGAAACCACATTATTATAAAACAGCCTATTAACAATCCTATAGATTACTACAACAGAAAAGAACAACATTCAGTGATATTACAAGCTGTTTGTGATGACAAGTGTGTACTAACTGATATATTT